CTCCAGTTCCGTCAGGTTGGATGGTGAACGTTGGTGGACAGCCATTTATAAAGTTAGTTAAAACCTAAAAACTTGTTTAATTTAGCATGTAAACGAGCAGCAGCTAACACGTAGCAGAGAGCAGCGGCTAACGCGTGGCAGAGAGCAGCGGTTAACGCGTGGCAGAGAGCAGCGGCTAAAGCATGGCAGAGAGCAGCGGCTAAAGCGTGGCAGAGAGCAGCGGCTAAAGCGTAGCAGAGAGCAGCGGCTAAAGCGTAGCAGAGAGCAGCGGCGAACATGTAGCAGAGAAGAGCAGCTAACGTGTAGCAGAGAGCAGCAGCTAACGTGTAGCAGAGAGCAGCAGCTAACGTGTAGCAGAGAGCAGCAGCTAACGTGTAGCAGAGAGCAGCAGCTAACAGCAGTTAACGCATAGCAGAGAGCAGCAGCTAACAGCAGTTAACGCGTAGCAGAGAGCAGCAGCTAACGTGTAGCAGCTAACAGCAGCTAATGCATAGCAGCAATAAAAAGCTAACATGGAGCTAATTACGGCTCCTTTAATGCTCTGATGTCACCTCTCTGCTGGTGAACTGAGGCCGGCCTTCATTTAAAAATGGATCTTCCATGTTTAAGTGAATCCCAGGAGAACAGCTGACAGTCTGCTCTTTGATGCTGAAGGTTTCTTTTATTTCTGCTGCTCTCTGTGCTAAACTGTCCTGATTACATTCATACATCAAACAGACATTTAATTAAACATCCAGGGAAGTGTTCACGGTAATGTATCAAAGGCTGGGGGCAGGTGTGACAAAGCATCTCTCTGTTGGGGGTAAAAAGGTAATGTAATATTAACATCACACCAGAGCACTGCGCTAACGTTAGCAGGGCTAAGCTACCAGTTTAATCATTACAACAGGGCAGTGGCTGGCCGTGCATGTTATACCTGGGCCTTCACTGCTGTCCTGCAGATGAAACACAGCTACCGTTATTTGTTTTGTGTAAAAATGAAGCTCAACACCTGTAGATACACTAACTGCAGAGTGCAGATACATGAACACGCTGAGAGTGCGTCTCGTCTCTGACTGCAGCTGGGACTGCTGCGCAAGGCTGCTATGAGAGTAACCTGTGAGAGCTTTGGGGCTCACGGCAGCACCTGCTGCTCGTTCACCACAGAGCATAACGTACGAGCTTTAACGTCAGAGTCACAGCACCAGAACAAGTCTCTAGATTTGTCACTCGTAGCTTTTGACAAAAAAAGTCTCCATGAGGGTTTAGAAAGTCGCCAACTTGGCAACACTGTCACCTGCTAAATATGTCCCCAGAGCAACATTGGACGTAACAATAGTTCCTATCGCATATAAAACCAAAAAAAAATCCATCTTCATAAAAACAAGTTGTACAAATAATAATATATAAACAAGCATATTAAAGCTACCACAGATGTAAAAAAAACCACATTTAACTTACCAGAGCTGCTGTTCACTATTTAAAGACAAAGTCCTTCTTTCTTTGTTAATAAAGAGTTTAATCCCACGGTTGTTCAGTACATCCGTGTGTTTTAGTTCCAGTAAGAAGTCCTGTGAAGGCCAGTGAAGACAGTCGAGCCTCCCCAGTTGTATTTCTTGAATACGTTTTAATGCGTTTGAGGCTGAAAATGTCCGCTCCACAGAGGCAGCAGATATTGGGATTGTCACCGCCCAACATGTCACGCTAGCCCACTGACCAATCACGTACTTTTAGGCCAGCTAGCAGGCTCTGACACGTCAAAGAATACGCCCAACATGTCAAACTAAAGATCTGATTGGTTGAACACTATGACAATCAACAATATCGTCCCCATTCACTTACACTGCACATGGATTCACTTGTGAGTCTGCAGGCCTCTGCCTCTGGTCTTACCTAGAGACACAGAGGTGAGATCTGATTGGATAAAAGCTCTACTTAAAACAAGCTGCACTGGAAGCAGAGCAACTGAGGAAGACGGGAGCTGTGCAATGAGAAAATAAGATAATGGGAAAAATATTACAATACATGTAGTGTATTTATGAAACATTATTAAATTATAAAATAGCTATAACTTTGTGATGCTGTTTAGGCCAGCAGAGAAGGCCTTGAAGGCCCTGACGGCCCACCACTGATATATATATGTGTGTGTGTCTGTGTATATGTGTGATGCTGGAGGTGTGTGTGTGTATATGTGTGATGCTGGAGCTGTGTGTGTGATGCTGGAGGTGTCTGAGGACCAATCACATCTCTCCATAGCCGACAGGAAGTCTCTCCTGAAGCGGTAAATTAACGTTTCTGTTCTTCGTTGATAATCCGTTTTCTTCTAAAAAGCCTGAAACTGAACAGCTGAAACATTTCACCCTGAAATGAGTTAAAGATATTAAACCACACGACTCCCTCAGTCACTAAATATCATAGTTATAGTTATTATACTTTATGTACTATACATGAACTCCTCTCAGTGAAAGAACTCTTGTTTTATTGTGATGAGTCATCATTTTATGGACTTTAGTTTTGTGCGAATAAAACTAATAAAAATAACTATTCTTAAATAAAATTGTCTAAATATTTACAGATGTATCATTATGAATATTTTTTACATTATATATTGTATATATTATATTATATTATACATAATATATAACATTAACAGAACAGCATCAAAGAGTTCATGTTTAATTAATCTTTCCTCTTCAGTGTCACATGACCCAGTGAGGGTGATGTCATCTACAGGTCACATGTTCCACCTGACTGTGTGTGTGTAATGCTCTGAACACACACACACACACACACACACACACACACACACACACACACACACACACACACACACACACACAGTCACACACACACACACAGAAACACACACACAGTAACACACACACACACAGTAACACACACACAGTAACACACACACACAGACACACACACACACACACACACACACACACACACACACACACACACACACACACACACACACACACACACACACACACACACACACACACACACACACACACACACACAGAACTGGGTCAACTGACAAAACGCTACGGCAACAACAAGCAGTCAAAATACACAAAGAGTCTTACAGTGTAGCGTTCGCTTCAAAGCCTGGTTAGCTTAGCTTTAAAGTTCAGTTAGCTTCAGTATAGACTGCACAGGTCGGTAATGACATCAGCTGAGCTCACGACCTGATGACATCATAAAGCTCCAGACCATCACGAGACTAATAAAGAGTTCATACTAACTTTTCATTGGTCTGTTCAGTGTGTGGTAACATGCGATACCTGCATGTTGTTGCTTCTACACATTACATGCTGCTTCCAGTGGGTCAGAGGTGGGGGGGGCTGCCTTTATGAACCTTCTGAGCGTGCTCAGTAGCGTTGCTGCTGTCGCTCTGGATCAGCGCTCTGGCGAACATGCTGCAGTGACGGTGATTAAAGCGCTCCATCCTCTGGCCTGAGGTCAGATATTAACACAGTGGTTAGTTCCTCTGTAGCTGCAGGAGATGAATCACTGACCTGAGGCCAGCTGCTCAAACATCTTAACTTCAAACAAACACTCAGACTGAACCAGGATCAGTCTTTCTGCTGCTTTAACAAAGACATGACTCGTAGTTACTACTTCTGAATGATGTAATCAATATTTACTATTGTCATAAAGTCTGCTTTGGTTTTATTGAAACTTTATTTGATGAAACACAAAAGTCATTTATCAGATTGTAGGTTTTGCTGATGAAGCATATTGTCAGTGTGTGATGGAGCAGATCCACTTCAGTCTGGTCTGAGTGGAGACCCTGACCTGGTCCTGGACCTGGTAGTGGCAGCTCAGGTGGAGCAGCAGACAGAAACCACCGTCTGGCCTCCCCTCAGTCCCCCCCCACATAAAACACAGTCGTCCTCCAGAGGACGTTTACGGGTCCAGACTCTGAGTCAGACCTGAACCTGAACCTGAACCACCAGAGCTAATGTAGGCAGGGCGGTGTGTTCAGGGACACTCGGCTGACAGGAGAGTCTCAAACCGCTCTTTCAGTGATGTCCAGGAGAAGGAGGAGGTGTCCACCTGCAGACCATATTAGCTCCACTTTAATATATTTATGTTTCAACATATTGGGGGACATTACATACACAGGATGTTAGCTACACTTAGCTTCTAGTGCTAACTGGAGCTAACTGGACCTGGAGGGTCACAAGTTGTGACGCGGTGGAGGTCATGTGAAGTTAATTATTGTATTGAATTGTTAGTTAATATGTTGTGACTTTATAATCTTAAAATATGTCAAATGTAAAGGTTCCCATCAGCCTCCTCTGTACTAAATACCAAATGTTAGCAAAGCGCTATGACTGTGCATACATTAGCTGCTCGCTAGCTACATTGTTAGCCGCGGTGGCTTCTAGACGCCGACTGTAGCTAACTCTGAGCTAACTGGATAGAGAAGCTAACTCTGAGCTAACTGGACGGAGAAGCTAACTCTGAGCTAACTGGACAGAGAAGCTAACTCTGAGCTAACTGGACAGAGAAGCTAACTCTGAGCTAACTGGACGGAGAATCTTACTCTGAGCTAACTGGACGGAGAATCTAACTCTGAGCTAACTGGACGGAGAAGCTAACTCTGAGCTAACTTTCCCTGGCTCTAGCAGTACCCTCATTTATCATGGTAAACGTAGTGTTCCAGTTGTAAAAAGTGAGTTACCTTGACTATGTGTCTGCGGGCGATTTCGGGCCTCCTGCAGAGCGTCTGCAGACGTTTATACAGCTGCTCAGGTGTGGAATACAGGTACTCTGCTGCATTAGAGAGCAGAGAAGAAGAAACGGTCACTCGTCACTGAATTAGGGTTCACTGTAACATCACAGGGTTTATTACCTGGGAATATCTCTGGATACACTAAGGCCTTCGGACACAGAGGATAACAGCCGCAGTGAACGGCTTCCAGCCTGTAAAACATCACAATATCAAAGGATCAGTACGTAGAAATCATTATTAATTCAGACCAACAGTGAAGAGTAACACCACAGATCATCTGTGGGACGAGATCTCTTCTTCTGGACCCTGATGACCTCAGACGCTCATTATTTAAATATTCTGAGGATCGTTGATGAATAATTAAGGACTTTTCCGTTTTTGTGTTGGAAACATTCATATTTAAAACAGATCTGACTGAAACTGTTCATCAGAAACAAAGTTATGAGGGTCCAGGTCCTGGATATCTGTGATCTTGTCTGAGGGACCAGGTCCTGGATATCTGTGATCTTGTCTGAGGGTCCAGGTCCTAGGTCTGTGTGATCTGGATTATTGAGGTCAGTCCAGCTCTGTGATGTGAGTAAATGTTAATCTCAGATATAATTATCATGACTGGAGGGCTCCATGATGATGATGATGTTAATCAGATTAAACACAACTCAGAGATAACGAGGAGGAACTATTCTGTTCTACTGTTTCTACTCTGATGGAACAGACGGGAGACCGGCTGGGCTTTTATTTTGTGGACCTGAGCAGTTTGACCTTCATAACATTAGCTTCCCAATGAACTTAAGGGTTAATATGCTACAATGCTAATATTCAGCATGTTTACAGATAGCGTGTTCATATTAAAGACTTTAGCATGTTAGCCTGTTACTATGCTAACATTAGCCACAGAGCATTTAACAGAGAGAAGATGTTGGATTATGTTTCTGTTTATTTAAATAAATGATGAGCACAGGATTTGTAGGAAATGCAAATAAAATGTCATATATATTAATATGTATAAATAGAGTTTGTGGTCGTATAAAAAGATCTGAGCGCTCACAGAACTCCATGTAAATATTGAACCTTTTAAAGTGTGACCCTTCAGACTCGGGGGGGGTGGGTGGGGTCCCTCCTGGTTTACAGACAGAGGGGGGGGGAAAGAACCCTTCTGGTTCTGGATCAAACACAAACATCACTTCCTCCTCAGGGACAACACGTCCTCTCATCGCTAAAATAATTAACTCCTGACTTCATTATCACAGTGTGAGATCTCTCATTATAAAACTCTCTTTATTCTAATGAAGTACCTGAATCCTCAGACTGCTGCTAGCATAGCATGCTAACATGTGCTCCTTATGTTCCTCCACCCTTCCTCTGTCAGACTGCTGCTAGCATAGCATGCTAATATATATATATACATATATATATATACATATACATATATACATATATATACATATATATATACATATATATATATATATACATATATACATATATACATATATATATACATATATACATATATATATATATA